ATGTCCAGGGTTTTCAGCTGTACTTTGGCGGGTGGGGATAGGGAAAATTATCTGTCTCCAACCTCCTGTAAACAGAAGTCCAAAAGATAGTACGTTAAGCACTAAGGTTGTTGCGTTTTCAATTACCACAATTGAATCTTTTTAAAATACTTACCAAAAGGCTTCAGTTTCCTCTTATCTATTAGCTTCTAAGTGAATTTCTGGGACATACAATCATAATTTGGTTTGCAGATACAAAAAAGAATTTTAATCTGATTTAGTCATAGAGAGAAAATATTATTTCCTTTCAGCCAGTAATGATATCAAGATGATACATGTAATTCCCTATCAGGTGAATTAGAAGTGAATAAATCAAATTAGATGTATCAAGGTGAAAAGATGAATAAAAATAAAAACATGTAGGCTTAGCTCTGCTTTAAATGCCAAAGACTAAAATAACTGGAATATTCTGGATTTTTACAAGTGTATAATTGTATGTTTGCCAGTGTAATTCCACTGGTATCTTTTGTTATTACTCTAGCCATCTTTTTTTTTTTTAATTGAAGTATAATCAGTTACAATATGTCAGTTTCTGGTGAGCAGCATGATGTTTGTCTTACATATACATACATATATTTTTTCATATTCTTTTTTATTTTAAGTTATTACAAGGTATTAAATATAGTTCCCTGTGCTATACAGAAGAAATTTGTTTTTTATCTATTTTATATATAGTAGCTAGTATTTGCACATCTTGAGCTCCCAATTTATCCTTTCCCATCTCCTTCCCTACACCCAGTAACCATAAGTTTGTTTACTATGTCTGTGAGTCTATTTCTGCTTTGTAGATAAGTTCATTAGTGTCTTGTTTTTTCTTTTTTTTTTTCTTTAGATTCCATGTATGAGTCATATCATATGGTATTTTTCTTTCTCTTTCTGACTTGCTTCACTTAGAATGACATTCTCCAGGAACATCTATGTTGCTGTAAATGACATTATTTTATTCTTTTATATGGTGAAATAGTATTCCATTGTATAAATATACCACAGCTTCTTTATCCAGTCATCTGTCAATGGCCATTTAGGTTGTGTCCATGTCTTGGCTATTGTATATAGTGCTGCTTTGAACATTGGGGTGTATGTATCTTTTCAATCCTTAAATAAGGAACAAAATAAAATATTTTTTAATTCCACTTATTTGTAGGTATTCCTCATGACAACGTGGGTCACTTTTTCCTGCTTTGGGTACCATTACTCCCCTTCACGTTGCCCAAACGCTCTGAACTGGGGCCATTTGTTCCTCCCTGAACATAATCCACATCTTGGCAGAGGATGCCTGAGCTCTGCTTGGAAGATAATCTCACCTTTCCCCTCATTATTCCCTCTCAAAGTCCCCCACCCACATCTCTCCATGTCTATCTCCACGATGCCACCCTACCACCTACCCTGGGAATGGATTACCAGTTCTTTGGAAAGGCAACACTTTAATCCAGTCTCAAAGGATGAGTTTGAATTACCCCAAGGTGCAAGGCCAAGTGGAGAAGGAAGGGAGGAGATGTAGGGCATTTGCATGTTTTGTTGGCAGGACTATTAATGAGTAAAAGAACAGAGGGTAACCACCTGATATATGTCAGCCAACTGCCAACCTCTTAATAATACTGGCATCAATTCTGAGACTAGGAGTGGTGGGAAATGAGGCTAGAAAGGGAGCTACGTATCACATTAAGAAGAGATGGTATTTCATAAAAAATTGACACTTTTTCAGTAGAAGATGGGATGCTCCTTAAGTGTATTGTGTAGAAATGACATAGTTAGAATTTCAATTTGATACACACTGAAAGCCCTCTGATTCTGGCTCTAATCTGCCTTCCCAGTTTTTATTTCCAGTGCTCTAATATGAAGTCCACAAACTCATCAGATGGAACTACTGACTCTTCCTTGAACACAATCTATAATTTGCCTGCTTGATGAAGTCACTCAGGAAAAACAAGTCACATTTTACCTCTCCTTTGCAAAAACACATACAATGTTCTTCCAAAGGTGGTTGTTAGGATTAATGAGCTAACCAAGAAAGAACTCAGTTTACTGTTGGTCAGTCAGGAGACAATCAATTTCCTTCCTTCCTCCTGACACTTACCTTAATTTACTTTGAATTACAATTATATGTGTATCCCTGTTACAGGACTGCAAAATCCTTTAGACTGTATCTAAAACAATGGCTCTAAGGAGGGGCAATTTTGCCTTTTAAGGGATATATGGCAATGTCTGGAGACATTTTTGGATTATCTCAGTTACCTATTTTCTTAATCGTAGGATGTTGGTAGTTAAATATGCTATAATGCACCACAGAGCCCACAAAAAAATTACTCAACCCCAAAATGTCAGTGGTGCAGAGGTTGAGAAACCCTGGCTTGATTCATCTTTGTAGCCTGGGTAGCAGTTAGCAGAGTTGCACATCATAGAAAGTATTCAGAGCTATATTTGAAACCACTTTTCTGTAGGTAAATTTATAAAGTGCTGTAAGGGAATAAAAAATTAAATTAAAAATTTATTTGTTGTAGGAAAATTGAAACATAACAGGGGTTTATGAATCTTGATTAATTGGGGGGAACCAATTTCCATTTGTATTTAGAGGTGAACAATTTAAAAGCTGAAGTTTTCTTAATCAGCAAGCTTTTGTAATGAAATGCAGCAGGATTTATTTTTATATCAAAGCAGCTCCCCTGATAGTTAGAGAATGCCACTGAATACAATTCAAAGATCACTTGTAAGCAGAATACAGTACCTTGGCTGCATTCTGGGAGAGGAGTGCAGTTAATAATGTAGATTCTAGTGACACTTTAATGAGAAGTTTAAACCCATTGGACCTGAATCTCAGAATTTATCAACCTAGGTAAATTTGTTATTTACCTAGATTTTCATTTCAAAGTAGTTAAGTGATGAGTGAAAATCAAAAGGAAAGTTTGTGATTAGGAGAAAAGTTGCTTTGTAGATAATTCAAGGAGTAAGTATTTTAAACTGAAAAGAAGAGATTACGGATAAATCGATGACATTTAACCACAGTGGTAAGGACTTCATGTGGAGGAAGAGATATATGCAGAACCCAGGGGATTTAATAAAACCCATAGCCTCTTTACCTAGCCAATCAGATCCGGTACCCACAGCAGAGTACCCACGGGACCGGGGTCACTAGGTGATTAGAGCATTTTCATGGGCCCTGGTGGATAAAGGATTAAAAAATGTTAACATCATCTATTTTTCCATTACCCATGAAAATGCCCAAATCACGGTATGATTTTGTTTGGTCAAATCAAAACCTTTGCTAGAGCCACATAGGAGACATAGTACCCTGTACTGTAAAAACACGTCCCATAAAAATAGTGACCCTGGAGATTCTATTATATAAGAAAATAGTTTTTATTATCACAATTTTATTGCCAATACAACATATAATTCTAAGAGAAAAATGCTAACTTGATGACTTTTCTAATATATTTTTTTAAAAACCTAAGGGCTATTGTAGCATCAATAGTACGTACTCTATCTGTCTATTATTTGTGTAATGGTTCAGATACTACACTTGGGGGATGGGAGGGAGGGGGTCCCCAGTCTCTCTCATCCGGGATCTGAAAACAAAAGCCCATGAAGAAAGGTTGCACAGGTCTTCTTCCTCATCCATTTCTCTCTCAAGCAGGGTCACTGCTTCTGTGCCAGGAAAACCACAGTTTTGCCACATGCCAGTTCTCTTTGGAAGAGAGCTAGAGTCTGCCAGAGCATGCTTCTTTCTCAAACCCAAATCAGAGACTTTCTAAAGTTCCTTTTCCCTGGACCTCTCTTTGTCGCCAAATAGTTCTGCTGATTAAAGACCTATCAGTTTATGCTCTGACTTAAAATGTTCCATTCACATCTTCCAGAAAGATTGCTCTCTGTCAGCTCATGGAAAACAACTTCTTAGGTTTATCACAACAGCAATTTTTTTCCCCTGTGCCTTAGCTTCCCAGTTGAAGACTGTAGCCTTTGTCCTAAGATTCTCTTCCTCAGTGCCAAATGTTATCATGAAGCGTTAATACTTAGATCAATGCCTGTCTGAAATATCATCGTGAATAGTTTTCATCACTGTCCTGAAGACATGCCTTGAAGGATTCCCCCAAACTGGATTATTCTGGGAGAAAAAAGTTTTCTACATATCAGGAAATTATATTAGTTTTCTCCCTCCACCAGTGCTCATTAATATGACTAAATAATTACAGTACATGAGGGATACAAAACCACACCATCTGAGGGGTAGGTGTCAAAGGGCTTTGCATGCTCCTCCCCAGGTCCTGATTTCAGTGAGCAAAGGCTTCCCTAAGCACAGGGACCTCCCTGTTGCATGTTTCAGAAAGACGATGTGATGTGTGCAGTCCCAGTCCCGTGCACTGTGAGGCTGCTCACCCGGGAAGGTGCCCGCCCCGTTGCTCCTCTGTAACATGTCATGTCATCTGAATCATACCTGGCACGTCCTTCTTCTTGTTACTGGTCTAAATAAGAGCTTCCCTTACTTCCAAAGTAACATTCCATGGAATCCCCTTAATATTTTTCTCTCAAACCATTTCTTTCTGATAGTCAGCAGGAGTCCAATTTTTGAATCTTAGGTTCTGGGATAATGAAAAGAGAATTAGAAGTTGATTGGCACAAATAGAAATGTTAATCCATTAATGAATGGCCATATTTCTTTTTTTTTTCTCAAGACCTAAAATAATTCATTATAGATTGCCTGGCAATTAACAAATCTTACACATAAAAGCAGAGCAGAGGAAAACAGAGCACTGTATTCATGTATAAGGCAGGTAGAAATTACATGAATCAAGAATCCACACTTGGAGTCCAGATCCAGCCTGATGAACCATTTTGGAACACTGAATCTA